ACAAGCATGTCTGTCTCCTGTTTCTAGGGCAGCCGGAATATCACGCTGGGGTGACGGGGATACAACCAAAGAGAAACTCTATCAGGTTGTTCACAACGTCCTCGTTGCCCACGCCAAGACCGATGCATAACGGAGCGTTCTCCGCTTCTTTTAATGGCATGTGTACAGGGCGACTTAAAGGCCTTAATACCAATTATTTTTCCCAATTAATGTTACACCTGAAATACTCGAAAAAGTGTATTAGCAGAGAAGTGTTCATGTCAATCTCTTCACGTGAAAAGAGAGGAGAAATTTTTGCGCCTCGATCCGTGAAACTGCTTCTCTTTGTTCGGATTTTTGGTAGCACAGTTATTTTCCCAATTTGTGGTCCCTCCTCTTCGAGATAATGCTTCCAGAGAAATGTTGAGAGGGTGGTGCTCGTCGAAGATGAAGCGAGAGAATATATTTTCTTCCAGCTTCAAGACAGATTTCTGAGATGCGTTCTTAGATAGCCTCCACAATTCGCCCGGAAATGTGCCCCACTCTCCCGAGAAGCCTTTCGAAGAATGTGACGTCGCTCTTTGCCATGAAGCCACAGTAGACCGGGAGAGCACACTGGAAAATGGAGACAACAGCAATCCACTACGACAGCTACTGACTCCCTGGTGGTGTGCATGAATCTCGACAGATTTACTGCAAAGGGGCAACCTTGAGTCATCGTGACTTTTCCCCAGCCAACGCTCCAACGAGACACTTCATAGTTCCTCTACGAAAAACGGTGAAACAGCTTCTTGTAATCTTTCATTGACTTCTTTGATGGAATGTCACGCAGGTGTTGCTGCACCTTATCTAGATCGTCATGCACAGGAGGCACGTCAATCATTGTGGTTTCGTTAATACATGTATGTAATACATATACATCTAATACATATAGACGATCGTGACTGACGCTAATTCTAACTGTCGTGTGGAGGGCCTTAAAAGTGGACTTTTAACGTTAACTTTAGGCCGAAAACAAGAGAACGATAATTTAGCACGAGCGGTTAATCGGAGGCAAAAGAAAGGGTCCTGGCCTCACTCCACAGACAGGACAAGCCGTCTAAGGAGATGACTGATGACAAATAATAAAACGGTGTTCAAACAACAAGGACAACAAGTATTTAATTAAAGTTAAATTAAGAGAAAAGAATAAATATCACAGATGTTAATTGAAGTCTTGAGGAGGTCTTGAGAGTCCTTAGCAAGACGGAAAAGAGCACGGCGTCAGACGAGAGATCGCAGGTACAGCGACAGACGGCAGCGGAGATAGCAGGCACAACGACAGACGGCAGACAAGAAAAAAGGCTGCAGGCACGGCTGACGAGAGGGACTGCCCAGGACGAACTCCCCCGACGGACGACACCGGACCACGGACGAGACGGAAAACGAAAGACGGCGTGGCCGGAAGGAAGGGGATCACACCCCCAAAATACAATGGAGGGCTATGCGGGGCCAACCCTGACATGGGCAGAACCCATGCAGGGCTGCGAATAAAATAATGTCCCGCGGGAGCGACAAAGCTCTATTAAGGTTATATTCGAATTTTAATCATTTTACTCATACGACACTAAGATTCCACATCCAGTGGAGGTATTCCCATCTGTAGTACGGAACCTGTACTATGTACCACAAACTACCAAGGACATGACATACCTTGATAGGCAGGAGACATAGGACAGTACAGACGTGGAACTTTCCCTGACTGTACTGATTACAGTATGTCAGAGGTTGGACCACCTCGTACGGTTCCATTGAAGTTTCCGCAATACGAGTCCTTCATTTCCCTTCTGCAATAGAGAATGAGGAAATGGCGGTATTGAGTTGATGGATACTCTATATTTCAGATCTCCTTTTCGGATGGAATCCTTCGGTATTTCAAATAATTGAATTCTCATCGGGAATATGAGTTTGTTTATGGCCTGAGCCCCATGAATCTGTCTTGAGTAAGTGGATAACACATGATGAAATGTCCACGCTTATTGATTCCTATAATGAGACTAGGTGAGACACATGGCGAGGTACTAAACAATCCTGCGAAGGACGATTCCAGGGAAAGAGGGAAGGGATCTTTTGCGTGCTGTGCGAATAAGCGAGACGCCACATCTCCACCTAGTGGCCTGACGAAGAACTTCAAGGTTTTGAAGTTTTTTTTTTAAGTTTGAAGGTTTTGAAGTTTTTTTTTTAAGTTTGAAGGTTTTGAAGTTCTCCACCAGGGGTGCTGCAGTTCTTTTCAACGTGTGGATATGCCCACGTTGGGCCCACATGGGGCCAACATCGTTCCCCAACATTTCCGTTCCGCCAACGTTTCCCACCTTTATTCAATGGGGGCCCAACGTAACGTGCTATCTGGGACTCTTCTTGGGAGAGGTCACCAACTCCATCGATGAATTCTTCACCGGGCTTTCTTTTCTTTCGACGACATCTCCAGATGGGAAAAGTGTCTTCAATACCTAACTTCAGGCATTGTTTCGTTGCTTTCATCAGAGCCTTAGAGATCACAGACTCTCAAACTGACAAGCCAAACCGGTCTCAGGAATCAGGAGTCTACCACGCACGCCTCAGCATGTTCATGCGTGAATATCGATTGGAATCTGATTACACAATGTTCTTCTTCTCGCGTCTGCGAGAAGTGAGGATTCCTATAGCCATTTTTTCTTTCTGTTAAGGGTAAAGTAAACCTTTCATGGGGGTTCTACATTCTGGGTATTAACAGAAACTTTTCCATTCTATGAATTTACGACCATATTTTCACTGCCCAACACATTTAAAAAATTTTTTTCTGTGCCTCATTCGCCTTCCCCTTGCTTCGCCTCCCTCCCTACTCGGCGCCCCCTTACTTACGGCCATGCGTCCAGCACATGTGACGCTACTGAATTTTTTTTTATGAAAACGGAAGGACGACGATTCAATAAAAGGCGTGAATCACGAACAGGTTAACGAATTTCCAGTTGCATATCTACGTAGTGATATTTGGGCAGTATCCCGAAATGTATTTAGTTCATTTTAAGCTTTTTCAGATACCGAATGTGCTTTTATCATTTAGAGTTCAAATTCCGTTTTCACCATTTCAAGGCATTTTTCTTCGTTTCATTTCCTTTGTTCGCGTCGCTTCACGTTTTTGTTGAGTATATCTCTCCTGACGATTTGATAACGCCTTCTTGCATTCGGAGGCATTTGAAAGACAGGTCATGAGAACTTTGAATCCCCCCCAAACTTTAGGGCTGGTTGCGCCACTGGACGGGCAGCCCGAGTCAGCTCATCCACACGTTGAATGTTGTCTTCAGAGACAGACGTGCTGGGACGGCCCATGAGAGGGTCACCTTCATTTGATGTTCGTCCGGATTTAAATAGTTTCATCCACTTGAATACCGCTCATTTCTTCAAGAATTGGTCCTTCTTAACATTTTGCAACCGTATGTGGATGGATGCGGCCTTCTCACCCTCAGCCACAAGGATTTATCACAATCCGCAGCTCTCTCATAGGGTCCTTGACCATCTGTTTACTTCCGCTCTGGGAAGATTTGAAAATCTGCGAAATATATGTAATCTTGCCATATCATAAAATAGCAAGATGTGGATTCTAAGTGCAAACGTTTTAAGTATAATATAAGTAAAAATGAGTGCGTCCATGTACGTGGTACCTTGCATGTGTCTCAGGCCTTGGATTGCAATCTAGGAAAAATTCACATGATTAGGTCATTCATGGACGAGTTTGAAAAATTCAGGTGGCCCAGGATGGCAAGTCAATATTGGGTGAAAATGGGTTATGAAGTGATTCATATTTTTCTCACACACAAGTTCAATGACAGCATATTGGCAAATTCAGCAAAAATCAACAAAATTTTTTTTTTCTCAGGAATATATGACACTTTGCAAGGCATGTTTGCGTCTTCTCAGCTTCATAAGCCTGCAACAACGATTTTAAAAATGCGTGAAATCGTGAGAGGTGCAAGGACTCATGAAACAAGAAACTACCTGTAAAGGTGATCATCTTAGAACTCAGGACTACTTGATCAGCATATATTTTCTACATGGTATGAAATACAATACCTTGCTGATTTCTTTGATGGATATAGTGAGAGAGAAATAAGATATGGCTACCCAGCCAAAAATACCGACTGGATCTGAAAGCAGGAACCAACATGGCCTTCAATCATGGTTCCAGTTTGTGAACTCGGGTGGTTCCAGCAAGGAACCACCAGTAAAATTAGACTTGGTTTCGTGATGGTTTTTAGCAAGACATCCAGCATACATCCATCATGAGGTTCCCACCCACCCACGTAGCACAAATGTACCACATAGGTAGGGCCACCAGCTATGTTGGGAGGAAGAGAGTTGGTGGCCCACCACCTTTACTAGGTTGAAGGCCATCTACTGCAGGTCCCACTTACCAGCGCTGGCCTGCCACCTTCTGGGCTGCTAAAGCTAATGCAAAGCTTCGTAAAGCTCATGAAATGGGAAGGGAGGGGGGGGGGGGGGGGGGGGGGGGGGGGGGGGAGAATATCAGTAGATGGCCTTCAACCTAGTAAAGGTGGTGGGCCACCAACTCTCTTCCTCCCAACATAGCTGGTGGCCCTACCTATGTGGTACATTTGTGCTACGTGGGTGGGTGGGTACTGTGAGAGAATATCACAAACATGAGCTTGAGTTTACAAGAATCTCTGGGAAATCATATGAACAAATAACACCTCATATGGCCAATATATAAACTTTTAAAAATTTGGCTTCATATGACCTGATGACAAGGGCTCATTTCACTTTTACTAGTGCCAAGAGTGCATCTGACATACATGGATGCATGTTCATGGAAGAAGAAAAAATATGAATATGCCTAAAAATTATTACTATTTTAATCAGGCAATACATCCTGGCTGCATTCCACCAGGATGCACCTGCAATCAAAAACATGTACAGTCAATATTTGTCCAATTTTCCTAATGAGGTGCATGAAGAAAAGACAGAGATCTGTTGGTTGATCACATGCGTCGAAGCCTGGAAAAGACATCAGAAGGAGGATCTTTTGAAGTTGAGAAAGGATTCTCTGGGAGTTGAGTTGAATTCAAGTGATCCTTCCATTTGCTGAAGATCTCTTGTGCTCTCTCCAAAGCATCCCCTGCATCAACATTCCCAATTGATATGATGACGTCAGGTGTCTCAGATTTCAGCCAAAATGAGGACCTGAGCACACCCTACCTTGGGGATTGATTGGGAATGATTGATGCTGAAGGGTGAAGGGTTGCTCCACTTGGAGGAAAACCTGTTCATCAAAAAGCTTCTGCTGGAACTTCTTTCCACTTTCCAGGGATTCCCTCAGCTCTGTGAAGAACATCTTGTAGCGAGGAGCAAAATAATCCCTCACAATTCCAGACCACTGCTTTGCTGCATAGTCCCTGATTTCTCCAGTTGGACCCCACAATGTGATCTGGTTTCGGGCGTTCAACTCATACAAAGCTTCCTCCTTCAAATGGGAATAAAAAGCATTCTATGCATCCATCCCTTCATGCACATTGAATGTCTTTCTTGGGAGACAGCAGTCTAGATTCCATTTTCAAAGTGCTTAGAGGCTGATAATAAAAGGATGATCAACAATTAAAGAGCATATATTTGTGTGGGATTGGTGCAACTGCTTGTTTGCACATATTTTCTGCAAAATTGCATTGCATTTGGATTTAGATCAAAATACTGTTCCAACTTGAGTCCTTCTCAACCATACCAACTACTACCATTGGTAGAATATAGTATTAGCAATGGTTTTCTCAATATTCTGAAGATATTTGTTGGGGAAACTAGTGCTGTCATGGTACCTTCTGGTGCATTGTGGTGTTAGCTATTGCCCCAGGAGATATATACAAGGGGAGTACAATAAATAACAAGAAACTGGGCATAAAATACTACCTACCAACTTAAGAAACTCACTACTGAGTCTGTCATGTTGGTATTACCAATACAGTCAAACTTGGTTATAACATCATTGAAGGGACCAGGGAAAAATTGTTGTTATAACTAAGTTTGCCTTTATTGACATTATGTTTCCTTGTTTTAAAAATAGTTGTTATATACAACTCTAGTGAAAATCAGTTGTCCTGCACTGGCTTCACTTTAAGCACTGGCCCACTAATTGTGATGTTTGCACTTCTTTGGACCTTGAACCTCTTTTGCATGGATTTGTTAATATCATCTCAAGCATATCTACAAAGTTTCTTGTTTTGCTGCATGTTCTTCTAAGTTTGGATGAAGCTATCCTGATTTTTCAAATTGTGGAAACAGATGAACTAGGAGATGAAGTAATCCATGTTCACAAGAGATGTCAGCTTTACTTCGCCCACTTTCTATTAAACAAATTATGCATACTTTCTTGTAAAAGTCAAAGGCTTGCCTCTTTTGCTTTTCACTGGCCACGTTGTCAATGAGAAATGCAAATGATGACTGAAGATAACTTGATCTTTTTAGTTACTGGGGATTGAACCTCCCTCACCCTCCTCCAGTCACACCCACATGACCCTCAAGGAATGCTGATTCCAGGAAAGATAAAGTTATGGCTCGCCATAACTTTATCTTTCACTCACTCTTCTGATGATGGAATTTTCTGTCAAGAATGACGAATTGGGGACATCAACATTGTCTATTTCATCAGTGGGACCTTGAATGGACTTCATTATAACCAAGATTCACGCTAAAACTGAGCCTGCTATAACCGAGGTAAAATGTCACGTACCTTATGGACTCTACACCAGGACCTGGTGCTCTTCGTCATTATAATCGAGGTCGTTATAACAGAGTTCTACTGCATTTTAACACCTGTGAAGTTGGAAGCACACCATTGTTGAGTGTGCACAAGACAGTACAGTTCAAACACAGCATTCAAAGTGACACGTTTGTCCGCTGAAGCACAAGAGGGGGAGGGAGGCCCGTCATGGCAAGTTTCCCTTTTGCACCCAGAGGTCCAAATTTGTTAAGTGATAGTAAATTATAGGCTTTAAAATATGAACCTCAGTATGGAAAGGAGGTTTAGTGTATTCAGCCCCCTTCCCATTTCAGATATGCCCCTCAATCAAAACATTTGCCTATAACCAGTCTTCAGTTTGGCATTCCTTCTCTTGTATTATCATCACATTGGTTCATTTGGGTGGGTGAGATGACAAGTTTTACATGTGATTTCAAGGTGTGAATGAGAAAGAGAGACAAACCTGCTGAGTTGTGGCAAACTTTTTTGCTGATGCTAACCACAGTCCCAACAAGAAGTGCTTCTCTGTTGACAATATCTTTTCCTCGTCTGCCATGATCTCCAGAAAAGTTTTTGAAAAAACCCTGTGAAACAAAATAAGAGGCATTCTAATCAATGATGGCAAAATATCGATTCTATGGAAAGCAACATGCAATACAGGCGTGTCAGAAACTCTCTCTGGGCCCAGAATCAACTGTAATGATTCATACTAGAGCACTCTCAGTTCTCCTCAATTTCTCATTATTCAGCAATATAGAGTTCACTTCTACTTATATGCGACAGAGTAAGTAAAATAACGCATACTGAGCTGCTAGCTTCAATAATAATTTGAGGAGTTCTCTGGGAAAAGGGCAATTATGATTTATAATTTTGAATTCATAATTCATAATTTATAATTTATAAATTATGATTTTTAACTGGAAAGGGATAGTGAAAGACTGGCTGGAAAAAGTTCCAGCAGCGTGGATATGGAAAAGGGGCATATGTGCATAAACACTAGCCACTTGCATCCCAGCAATAAGAGGTAAAGAAATTCGTTAAAACCCCAAGTTCAATTGGAAAGAGGTCTAAGATTCCATTTGACTGAAAACTGAGTCTTGACCAGATGCAGATTAGCTATGGGAAGTTTTTGCTGTTTATCTCGAATTGCATCTTTTGCACATACGTCCCTTTTCCAGTGAACTCCTCAATTACTGGTGCAATATGAGTGTGTTTTGCAGGTTGGTTTCACTTTAAAAAAGAGTAAGTATCCTCAAGTTTTCTCTCTCAATGATGCAACAGTCAGGTGCATCAAAGAGCAAGAAAATTCCTGTTAAAGTCGCATAACAGTACCTTCAGAAAAACACTGCAGCTCAGTTTGCTGAATAGAAAGAAGTGAGAATGATGGTAGGTTTGGTCACCTGAAGAGATGCTTATCCTCATAGGCGAAGGCAGACATTGACAGGACGAAATAAAAGTCGCACAAAACCTGCAGGGTTTGTCGCGTGATGTCAACCAAATCATACTTGAATGTTTCCAATGAAGTCACTGGGCCTTCAGATTTAATGAACAAAGACCAGACTTCACCCCACATTGTCAAGTTGTGGATTCCCTGGAAGTATAATTTAAGGAATGGATTTCTTTTTGTTGCATTTCAAGTCACAGGAAGTAAAGATTTCCCTGAAAAAGTAGAAAATAAAAACCAAAATCTGATGACTATTTTTAAAAGTCAAATTAGAAATTGAAAAGACAACCTGATTTCATTCCATAATGACAAGGGTTGTTCTATCACTAGCAGTAAAAAAACATGGGATTTTCTACATTTGCCAATGCCAATTAGTCTTTTTGACTTTACATCCAGACTTACTACAATGTGAAATACAATACTCTCTCAGAATAATTACTATAGTTACATTCACCACAGTCATGTCTATCAGAGGTGCTAGAGTAGATTAACACTGAATACAGGGTGGGCCAAAAATATTCATACCACTAGTAACTTTTCTATTTATGTATGCATAAAAACAGCAAAGAAAAAAATGTTTTGTACCTCTATATGAGTGTCTCTTTGGTGGTCATCCTTTGCTGTTTTAACACAAATCCTTTTCACCTAGAAATGGCTTGAGGTTCAAAAAATTGTCTGTCTGACCATGAGGATAAATTATCAAAGAATGCAAATGACCCCCATACAACTCTGACCATTACCAAACTGATTACTGTATGTGAAGTCTGCTGGAAGCAAGTACCCATAAATGAAATCCAGTGACCTGAACCAGTTAAAGTTTGTGCTGAAAGAGGAGTGAAACCATGTCCGTCTGGTGTGATCAACTGACACACTCAAAGATTCCAGGTTGCTGTCAAGAACAGGGGACACATCGACCATATTTTGTGAGTAGTTACTGTGAGCACCTGTGTCTTGCTGAGATTCAATTGATTCATGAGAAGTTATTAGTACAGGAAATACAAGACTTCGATTTGGTGTGAATATACTGTATATGGCCCACCCTGTACTGACCTGAACACTGAAATCTTAAGAGATACCTCATCACAAGAGCATTGCAGAACTTATTAATTCCTTATTTAAATATGTAAAACTATAACAATTTACCAGTACTTTTGGGAAGAAAATTTTTTTTTTCCTCATTTCACTGGTAAAAACTGGGGGAAGGGAAACATCTGAGAAAAGAAAAGTGAAAATATTGATATTCCAAAAGGAATATCAATATTTCCACTTTAAGGAATTTTAAAATATACTTTCCAAAAATGGGAAAGTATATTTTAAAATTCCTTAAAATTTTCCTAATAAACGATTAAAAGATTGCTAAGGTAATGTCTTCTTTTAATCCAACCCAATTATGATGTGAAATCACAAAACCAGATTAAGAAAGCAGGAAAAAATATTTATAATATCCTACCATTATGTCTTGTTACCCTCAATGAACTGAGCAAGAGATGGAAACATTATGCAAATTGATCAAGTGACAGTGGCCACAGGCTCTGAGGTAGGTGATTAGAATTCAGGAAGGATTTTTCATAGGATTCTACTGTTAGAAGGGATCTTACTGCGAGGGGGAATAGCTTCCACCATCCTCAGGAAAAACTGAACTTGTAAGTAGAGACAAGTCTTGCATCCCTTATTTAGTTGAATTGTGACATGCAATCAAACACCTCATAACATCAACTGGTGATGTGCTGTGCCTGATTTTATATAAGAGAATCAATCTGGCATTTTTTAGGCTTCTGTCAAGGGTGTTCCAGTCAGTGCTCAAATGATGGCATGGGATTTGAGGTTCTAATTGTGGTCATTGAGCATGAAGCATGACGTTTCTTGGACTTGCACTTTCCCTGGCTGTTCCTTGTTACCCAATTTAATGGGGTTTCATTGTTGCATACTCCAGAATGGGAGGGGCAAGGGGTGATTAAAAAGTTTCAGGACTGGTTTGATAACTTCTTTATTCTTTGTTGTACAGGTGAGCCATTTCATCTCAAGTAGTAGTACAATTTTCAAGAATCTTTTCAAGTAAGTTGCTGCACCAATGAGAATTTCCCTCAAAAAACTCATGTGCACTGGAGGTTATGAGATACTGATTAATCCAAAATCTCAGCAGTTTAAGTCCTAGTCTTTGAGATATGCAGTTTTAAAGTTTTGGAGGGAACATAAAATGACCCCTTGGACAAATTCAACACCTCCATGACTACTAAAGCTAGAAAGCTGGTCAGTAGCTCATTTTAAAGCATGAAGTCAGGCAATCAAAACTTTTACCATGAGTTTTTCTGCTTCTCAAATAGGAAAAAAAGGTGCAAATTTGTTATTATAATTTTGGCATTTTCACAATTTAAGCCTAAAAATAAATTTAAAAATGCTTGTAACTTCATTAGATACACTATCAGCAAAATCTGCATCTTCCACTGCATGCTTCTTGATATATCTTCATGACTTTCCTAAATCTAAATTGTAAAGAAATTGAAAAAGGTCAAGAAAATAATTTCTGAAAATTAATCACTCTTTAGCACTTTCATAATCTCCAATTCACCATATTTGATGCCCTGTAGATGAGCACAGGAACATATCAGCAGCATTTGCAATACATCCACACTACTGCTACATTGTGAATATGTGATTAGATTAGATTATTGCTTTGGATAAGTTGAGAAAGCCATATTTCAAGAAAGGACTAATAAACAAGATTTGGAAAAAAATTGGAAAAAAATCAGAGGTTCAGAAGGAACCTAGGGGCATGAATGGGTTGCTGAAAAACATGCATGCTGGACATCATAAATAAGTTCATGCAAAACACTCATTGCCAATAAATGCCATCTGGTGATATGTTCACAATAAAGCAGTAGTGTAGATACATGTACATGGGGGGATAAAAAAGTTTAAGCCTGAAAGGGTAGAGTCTTACTGATCATGCTCTGAAAGACCTGCTGGAGGTTGACTCCTTAGGGGTTAGAAAATTAATCATAGCACTTTCTCAATGTTAATACTCCTGAAGCAGACTTGTTAGTAGCACATTGAAAAAAAAATTGAAACCATCTTTAATCGACAAATAAGATGAAATTTTACTTGTCACCATCAAAGACATCTGTCTTCATGAGAAGAGTAAGAATGGTGTATTGCAACTGGAAGTGCTTCAGGCTTAGAACTTTTTGATCACCCCTCATAAAACGCTGCTGATGTGTCCCTGCATACATCTACTGGATGTAAAATAGAAGGGACTTAGAGGTTATGAACATTACAAATCGAAGTAGTAATTTTCAGAAATTCTTCTCTAAGCCATTTTCTAGCTCTTTGCAAGATAGATTTAGGAAAGTAATGAAGACATACTGACAAATGCACAGCACAAAAAGCTGATTCAGTTTATCAAAAATGAATGAAATTGAAAGATTCTATTAAATCTTCATGTTAGCATTATTTTAATTTAAAATGAAGTATTACATAGTAAAAAGGGTTTAAATTGCAAGTAGGTGTCTCTCAAGCCATGATGAATCCAAAATACCAAATATAATGTTTCCCTACCCAAAAGATAATGCAGGTGGTGTTATGTGCTTGATGATGAATACTGCTTCAGATGGTTAAGAAAAAATATTCTTAATGTTCAGACTTTCATAATAACCCAATGAAACTATGAAGGCCAAAAAGAGCTTTGAGAGATCTATCATTCTGTGGAGGAAGCATATCTGGACCTGGAATCAAAGAAAAGTTACTGAAGGTCAAAGTTGTCCAAATATGGACAATTTTCAAACTTTTAGTACCCAGCAGGTTTTTAAAACAACAAAAAAGGAAAGAAATGAATCATTGGGCTTACCCCATGGAGCAATGAAGATCCAAAAACTGGAATAATTACAAGTATTCTTATTACAAAATTTATTAGGCTGAAAATGTGACAATTTCAAAATTTTCATAAAATTGCACATTTTTTCCTAACTGAGAAACAAAAAACTCATGCTATAAGTTTTGATTGCTTGGCTTCATGCTTTGAAATGATCTATTGACCAGCTTTCTAGCTTTAGTAGTTAGGAGAAGTTGAATGAGTCCAAGGGGTCATTTTATGCTTCCCTCCAAATCTTCAAAAGGGCATATCTCAAAGACTGGTGGACCTAGATTGGTAAAATTGAGGATTTATTAGTTTCTCATAACCTCCCATACATGATATTTTTACAGCAAAATCCCAGCTGGTGCAGCTACCACCTTTGGACCACTTGACAAGGAATGACTCAGATGTTATTTCTAGTATGTATCTTTTGCTGGGTCTTGGGGGATGCATGGGCAAAACTTCTCACTTATTGGTTTTCATTCAAATTTCCCATGAATTTTTTTTTTTTGATGGACACTTGGGCCAACATGGTGAAAATAAGAGAAAAATCCCAAGTAGAAATTCAGAGCACCATGGATTTTTGGTGAAATTATGAAAAAACAGAAACTTGTGGCATGTTGCGTGCTGCTACTATTGGAGCAGATTCTTCAGACTGCTCAATGATGCAAATAGCTGAAAAAGGCAGGACATTAGGGACAACCCAAGGTCAAGTTGGACATCAACATGGGTTGAGGATAGAACAAAAATTAGTACAAATCATTCAGAGTTCAGAAAGTGGCAAATCAAGATTTCAGAGAACTTGAAGCACTCTGAACTTTCAATTTAGTTAAAGAATTATCCTTATCCACTCTCACGAAGGAGGTCAAGCAGTCTATAACAAAAATTCTTAAAAACTGAATTGAAAACAAATATGGGAAAAATTTTGCCCATGCACACCCAAGACAGATACATAAGAGAAATGACACTGTACATGAAAGAACAAAGTTGCAGAACCAGTCATAAGACTTGATCTTATCACTTCTTGTATACTGCTGCCCTGTCTTCTTCAGGAACATCACATAGGTTAGTAGGCAAAGGACTCCATTGGCTGTGACCACAGTGGCAGAATACATTCCTCCTAGTTCAGGGGATTTCTGCTGATGGTAATTCTGGTGTTATGAGGCTTTTAGCAGCGATGGCTTCATAGCTTCAGGACTTCATGTATGCAACATACAGAAAGGAGGCTATCTCACGTCTACCCAGCATTTTTCCACCAAAGTGCAGAAGACCCAGAAACTTTAGCGGAGGGCATTTT